TAAAACTACTTTTGATTAAGTGATTGGGAGTCATTTTTTCAAAACATGTTCTAGGAACTTGTTAAATAGAGATGCACATGCAAACCCCATCTAAATTCACTCAAAACCCCCTGAACGGAGTGTTGAGATCACGTATAAACAAATACTATTAAAAAAAAAAAAAAAAAAAAAAAAAAAAAAAAAAAAAAAAAAAAAAAAAAAAAAAAAAAAAAAAAAAAAAAAAAAAGGAAAAGAGGGTGTCATGGACTTTCAGATGCAATGTGACCGTTGTTCTCCATGAAATTATAGAAGAATCTTCATTACTTGGAGCCTAGATCAAGTAGAAGCCTCAGTTACCTGAAAACTGGTATATTCACAAATTTTCCTTTTAAATTGCTGTTCCGTAGAAGCTGATTTAAACAGGAAGAATGAAAACCTGAAGTGTGACCAGTCTCAAGAAGACTGATTTGTATTTTAGAAGTAATATGAGATTTTGGATCTTTCCTGTTCTCAAGGCACAGCTTGAAATATCTTAAACAGCAGGATCATCAGGATCACTTTCCACTAGCCAGAATAGAGGCATTCAAAACTGTGTGCCAATTTTAACAAACCAGTGATGGAATTAAATCATTACCATCTTCCTTAGCTTATGGATGGGAAAAAAAAAAAAAAGGAGGTCCTAAATATTCAAGCTGTGTCATTTGAAATACCTGAGGGCTTTTAGCATCCTGACTAGGAATATTTAACATGGAACAACTGAATGTTTTGCTATACTAAAGTTGGGGTTTAAAATTATAGAAAAGGGAGAACAAATAAGGTGATGGACAAGGACACAAGTAAGAAAAGCTCTCTCTAACCAGGGTTTGGAGTAAAAACCTTGAATTTGTATATGGGCTGGTTATAAAAATAAGGGATCAACTTTGAGAAGTTAAATACTGGAAAAGTTAAATACTGTATCATGGCATTACTTGGAACAATTTTTTTGGCAGAATAAAACACAATATTCCTTGTTTGCGTAATAAGTATTTTTGGTAAAAGCATTTAAAATCAAACTGTCAGTGAACAGAAGAGGTTTTTCTTCAGTTTCAGTAAAATCTTTCACATTTGACTACAATGATCTGCTTATTATATTTTAAAAATATTTTATTGCATATTTAAACATAAATTATATATATATAAAATAACATTTAAGCATGATCTATAGTTTTAGCAGAAATCAATAGTAGGTGTTTCTTTTATTCTACTAAGCCATAAGTACATATTTCTTTCCAAGAAATCTCTGATGAGATACTGTGTAAAGTTATGAATCATGGGTGGTAGAAAGTATCTCTCATTTTCATTTCAGTTTTACTGCTTGGTAGTAGAAAACGTGATGTCTGTGAGAGGAAAAAAACGGCCATCCCTAATCATTCTGAAATTAATAGTAAATGTATTCCCTTGAAAAGACTACATAAAAAAGTATGACTATTATTCAACGTGTTCATAGAGGAAAAATCTGATCCTTGTGCATCTGGTATTCTCACAAAGGCCTTTTGGTAAGTTTTGTTACAGAAGATTCTGAGAGTGGCTGATCTTCCAGCCACAACCTGTACGAGGAACACAGTATAAAGAAGAAAAACAAAAACACCAATCAAAAATCTCGCAATTATGAAGAAAGGCAGATTTTTCTTTTCTGTCCAAACAGAAATTACTGCCATTGCTCTTTTTATGCAGCTTCAGCAGAGCAGAATGAGTCAGGGCAGATTCACAGAGCTATGGCAACGCTTGAATGCACGTCCCAGGCAATCACTGCTCTTTGATAGAAAATGACTGCAAACATGCCTGTACATAAGAAAACTTAGATTTCTTTTCTTCTCAGAATTCCACTGAATAAGAGAAATCTTCAGATAACATGAGTAGTTTCATTTCTCACTAATTTAGCTACAGTGAGCTTCTGTTAATATACTGTTCTAGTTAAGTTGATATAGAGCATTGAGGGCTTGCTCGATTTCAGAAACGACAGGTCCCATCTATTGGTAAAGCCTTTTATGTTTTTAAAATGAACAAATATTACTTGATTTTGATTGACAGACCACAGAAGAGCATGCTTGCAAGGAGGACTTAGTGTTCTTTAATTTCAACTTTGATAATTAGGAAGTCCAATACAAAATTGATAATATAAAAAACTTGCTAGAAAATATGGAACCACTTTAGATACTCTTTCCTACTACTTTGGTACCATAGAAACAAAACTTTCTTTAAAAATTCTACATTTTTAACAATTGATGGCAAAAATAATAAAGCCCCAGCTGTTTTTCCCATTTAGTTACGTTTAATAAAACACACCCAGAGAGGGTGAGGCCTCTCCATGTGTGAAGACATTGAGGATCTGGCTGGACACTGTTCTGGGTAATCTGCTCTAGCTCAAGATTCTCTCCAATTTAGTCCACGAAGATTGGACTACACGATCTCAAGAGGTGAATTCCAACCTTCAAAACTCATTTAAATAACTGGTTTCCACAAAAATAGGCAGAAAAGGATTAAGGAAAATTTTACTTAATTTCAGATTTTATGAGCAGCCTTGTATTAAACAAAAATGACTATTTCTCATCTCCTTCAAATTTTAAATTTAAATGACTGTGAGGCTCAAGACTTTGCCTGTGTATGATTTAATTTTTCATTCTTCTAACTAAGTGTCCAGAGTATTTTACTCAGCACTGCTATGGACTTTTCCAATGAGGCTTGAAATCCAGGTTCTGCTTGCTCAATAAGGAAAAATTAAGAGGACTTGACAATTTTCATCAGACAATTTCCTCAGCAATCTTTAATAAATTTTTGCCCTAAGAAGATTATGTCAGTTCTGTTATCTTTAATTAAACATACCAAGGGGATAATTTTCATGTTTTCTGTGAACAGAGATGGCTTCTTTCAACAGGAAGGGCTTTTAAGGTTCTACATTGTACTGCAGCTTTTGAACTAAAACGAATCTACAGGGAATTACATTTATGAAGGTTCACATACTCTCTCAACACTCCTAAAATCTCAAGAAGGAACAATTTTTCAATTTTTAAAGCCTGCTTTGTTCCATGATGACTCTTATTTGCTTGTTTCCATCCCCATATCTTCCTCAGAACTGTCTAAGTGCGTAGTATCTTTAATAATTTATTTCTAAGGAATACTAATCTTCAAGGAATCTCATGAAATTTCAGCACTAGGGACTGGGTCATTCTCCTATTTTTAGGTCATGTTGAGAAGAAAAAAAAAAAATCCCATCTTTTATTCTCTGTCTCAATGTAAGAGGGACAGTTTGAAGATACTTAACATTTCAAATGTAAACTTGAACTAGAAGACATGGTCATTGAAAACACCCAATTAAAGTAGTTTTGACCATAAATGTGTTTAAATCTAGAAAAAAAAAAAATCCCTGCATTAGGTAATACTGTCACTTCCTCTCCTGCAACTAAATTGAGCTCTGTATAAACAGTAATAAATATGATGCTACTACACTTATATATTAAAGCCTTATGTTCTCCTTCCACACTTTCTACAAAAATTGGCATTCATTTAAGTTAAAAAAAAAAAAATCACAATCTCAATTGCAAGAGGTAGGAGGGATTTTAAAAACAAATTACATGGGTTTTTTGCCAATAAGCAAACACATTCTGACAGGGAACTGGTATTAGTAGGTACAGATGGTGAAACAGCAGCAACACTCAATTTCTCTGTAGTAACAATCTGCAGACTCACTGATTTTAGGGTTTTCTGCCTATGTTGTAGAGTTGAGTATTCCCTACTTGCAATAAGCCTTAATGTAGGTAGGAAAATACAAGAAACTACAGATTTTGCAGTAAGAAATTGTTTTGTTCCTTTTTTCCCCCCGCTCATGGGTAGGTCTAACTCAGGTTTCCATTTTACAATAATGTTCTAGTTTCTCTCTGCCAGTTTTAAACTCTTGTAGTGATCTGTAATAAACAACATTCTGGAACAGCTTTATTTTCAGTCAAATCCCCCTAGGGAATAAAGTGATTTAACATGAAATATGTATCCCATCCTGCTGCTTTCTGTAATCTACTCAGACCAAATGTGGATAAGGAATACTTACTTCACACAAATTAAAATGAGATGTTTTGGCCAAATTTGAACTCCAATGGAGGCATTTGAAAATGTTACCCACAATCTTTCTTTAGTCTCCCAAGTCTGGCTAATAAAAACTTCAAACTTCTCCCATTTACCACTGCTCCAGTTTCTGCCTCCGAATCTACTTTGCTTAAAACAGAATATTATCACTCTTATAACAAAACCTAAAACTTGAACTAGGTACTGGGTACTTTCTTAAAAGTTTTCTGAGAGAAAAAGTAGGACTGACAAGTCACATTTATGATCTCCAACATAAAGAGGACAAGAATAATGCATACACTTGTTTGTCTCTGCATGGTTGTAGCTGGCTGAGTGACACTTTCATGGACAAAGCTTTGTACAGATCCAAAAAGGTCTCCCTCCACCCAAAAAAAAAAAAAAACAACCTGAAAACATGCAACCATAGCAGAGGGAAAAGAAATAACAGTAAGTAAATTAAGTAAATTCTTAAAAATGCTTCATACTGTAAACAAAACATTTAGCACACAGTCTTTAAAGTTTACAGAAATAAAAATAAAAAAACCACTGATGACTGTAATTTCACCGATCTTATTTTTCATGGCATTATGCATTTGTAGATATCACAGAAAATTTTTACATGCTTTATCATTTAAAAGGTGTGAAGACCCTGTCTTTATTTTAGATAGAAAATATGGGACCCAAACAATTTTGAGTGTGCAATATTAAACAACTAGGGAAATGGAAGCAACACCTTCCTGTCTCTTTTACAGTTAACTAAAAACCAACCAACCCTAAAGTTTATTGATACAATATTAGAACTGGTTATATGGGATACCTTCTCAAATCATATTTCTACATTAAATACCTGCTAACCCAAAAAAGTGAGAAATGCTTAAACTGATTTTAAAAAAATTAACAAACCAAATAAACGACAACAATTGTACCTGCAACCACTGGAGATTTCCTGTCATCCAGAAGCTGAATAGCAGTACTGGCTGTCACTACATTGCTCTTGTTTGCGGTTTCTGCAGGGTTTATTAAGAAAAAAAGTAAAAATAATTGAAACAACATATTGCAGAATGAGGCAATTGAGCTTTTTCCCCCCTGGTTTGAAATAACAGTCTACACAGATTTAGGGCTCAGAAAATAAAACAGCAAACATCATGTTCTATATGTATGCACAGAACATACAGGCACTGCCATTTTAAATTCCCCAGCATCCCCAAACCAAGCTTAAAACACTGAAATGAGTACCAGGTTTTGAATCCCCTAAAATGGCAACAAAGGTGACAGCTTTTGGTTGGGCTTATCATTAGTGTGAACATTTGTTCTATTGGGCCTGTCTTGCTTAAAATACCAGGTTGTAAGGTCACCCTGTGCAAATATTAAAAGAAAAGTGAGGTTTCACTTGGAGCCCTGAAAGGGATGCACCTGATCAAAGGGTCAGCAAAGAAGCTTCAGATTTCAATGCATATTTCAGATTAACATTTGAGATCAGCTACACAGCCCACTCGGTACTGACATACTTGGAATCCTTCCAGCATCACATATGTCTCAGAATTTAGAGAATGACAAAATTATAGACCTGTGCTGAATGGGATTGAATAGACAAAGCTCCCAGGTATTTGCTCAGCAGCTCTTCTGTACCAGAGTGGAAAATGGTCAGCATTAAAAATGTTCTCCTTATCTTCAGCTGTCAGGAAGTCTCTTGAGAAAAAAAAGGAGACAGAAAACACCTGTTATTTATTGCATGGCACACAGTAGTTTCTAGCTTTGAAAGACAAGAAAAAAGCAAAATGCAAGTTTTAGGGAAAGGAAATGGTTTGGGACAATTCTTCTAATACCATTTGTTCAAAAAAAGGGGTTAAATTTAGCCACTAATAAATATTGTGACTCATTCACAATCACTTTTGTTGTGAAAGATGGAAAAAGTACTAAAAAATAGTACCTCTAAGTACTGCTGAAAATATATTGTACTCCTCAATAATTTCAGGGAATGTTGGCAGAGGAAAAATTGTGTCAATTGACAAGAGCAAGTATGGTGTCCACACAGCTGTTCTGGTTTGCTGTCTGACAGTAACAAATTGGGAGTGCTACTGATCTCACCTCCCAGGCTACTTGAACTACAACAGTATTTGTGGTCAGATAGGCACCATATAATTTTATATTACATAAAATTATATTATCATAAATATCAAGTGCAAACTTTTTTTTTTTTACATGCATAATACCTCCACTAGATTACATCTTCTCCAAGCAAAATAGGAAACCCTTGTGTAATGAGATCTCTTGATTACTCTTTCACTCAGTCCACTTCTGTCACGTGGCTTTATAGAACACTGAAAATATTTTCCACAACAGAGATGCAAAATCTCTGAAAAAGCCTACAAGTACTAGTTTTTAGATAGGATAGTAAAAACAAATAAATCATCTGCAGGTGCAGCATATTCATAATTCTGCTCTGAAGTATAAAGATGTCAGGCTGGGAGTATGTGTGTGGAGAAAGTAAATGTTTGGGCTATGGGTGTAAAATAGTTTATTGTTCCAAATGTTCCAGTTCAACAAAGAATTTAAGGGATCCTATGAAATCTTTCTAAGTTGTTCTGTCTGAAGAAACAATAGATGGGCTTCAGAAATATAAACATTTTTTTCCTTCTTTTCTTATATGGCCACCAAGCATAGCTTTGTTACTTACTGGTTAGTGAGCTGCTCTGGACCCACAAACAGGTTGATACGAGATAGTCCAGTCCGTGTTCCAAGGAAGGCAACTTCCACTCCTTTGTCAGAGTTTCTGAAATAGCAAAGATAATGCTTTTAAAAAGATAAAGCTGTATTAGTGGTTGAAGAAAGTACAAGTGTACTGTAGTTTTTGAGAAGTACTATCTTTGATTTATTTTTAACTGCTGTTTTTCAAGTTATAGTCCTGTGGGTTTTAAAAAACATGCAATGTAGAAATGCTATTTAGGCCAAGAATCAATGAAAAGTCAAAGACAGTAAATTTTGTAGGATTTGTAGGGAGGGGTTATAAGGAAGTCAAAGAATAAAAAGGTGTGGCATAGCTATATACCAACTATTTAATAGCCACTGGCACTCAGTGATTCTGAGATGGGCAGGAATTCCAGATATTGCTCCCAGTCATTCAACACTTCTGCACTATGTCTATGCTTCAATTCATAGGTGTGACTGTTGCCCAAGTGACAAAGTAAAGAATTTAATTAGTTTTATTGTGAAAATTACAACTAATCATCATGATGTATGCTGCAGGATAAGCACTTAAGACTGAATTCGAAATTGGTGGTGTTTGGGATCAAATGGTTAATATCATATCTTCATGCATATTAGAATTTGTTAGATATTCCACCAGTTCACTAACATATCTATCAAAAATACACCCATGGCTGATAGATAAGGTCGACACAAAGCTTGCTTACTCTGATTTATTCAATGCTAGGCTGGTCCAATAAGCTTCAATTGGTGCACTCACAACTGCGTCAAACAGAACTTCCTGGATCAATTCTTTATCACCTATTAAAATATATTAAAATCAGTAAATGTAAAGCTTATAGACAATTTTTTTTTAGATGACTAAATAATAGTTTTTTACACTGTACATTATCGTGTCTGTGATATGCTTTCAAAAGCTCTGCACTACGAAGCACTTACTAAGTAATATTACAGGGTATTTTACAACAATGCAGTTTTTCATACATAATTTCATTGCACTAACAACAATTTAGATTAAAAAAAAAATTGATCCTCCACTTCTTGTAACTCCTTTATGTATATATTATCTAATGCTCCCATTTGCACATGACATAAGGTTAAAACAAGCAGGTCTACTAACACTCACATTTCTGCAGGAGGACAGAATATGCACTTATCCACCTGAATTTTTTATTCTGCTCTGCAGTTCAGAAATGCTAATTGCATGCCCATCCTCCCCAAGATGCTCATGAAATATCTCGTATATTCTTTGGGGGCATGATCCAAGGATTGATTCAGACCAATTCTGTTTAACTTATAAAACCAGATGGAGTGATAATTTTGCACAGTATAACTACATCATCTGAACAGAAACTTGAATGTTTGCTTCAGGCATATTGTTTACTGCAAAAGTCAGAAATTTGAATCATCAATATCTTCACTGATACCCTGGATAAAGCTCAAAACCAAACGAAATTCCAAATTAACACTGGTTGAACTAAGCATTTTGTAGAAGGTTCAGTACAACAGTTTTTAGCTGGAGTAAAGCCTATCAAGTGCATGTTTAACAAAATACTTGCATTGCAGCAATGGCTCTTTTCCTGTGAGGTAGCGTTTGATTGCTTCTAACTGAGTCATTTGACGGTGCTCAGGATGTAAGTCAGTGTTGCAATAGGACCTGTGAAAACGTTGTCAAGACGTTAAAATGTTATTATATGTGTAAGAATGATCTCTCTTTGTCTTCAAACATTAAGAATTGAGCTCTGCAAGCACAAACAATATGAAACCAAGAAGGGTAACAGACACCAATTTCATGCTTTGTTTAAGGCTTACCATTCATCTGCTAAAGATACATCAGGGTGTTCTAAATCATGTAAACCTGTAACAGTAATAATAATGGGTTATTTAGGGAGCAGTGTGGGTAACAGATGGTTATTTGCATACACTCCATAACATAAACCCTTTTTGGAAAGTGCATTATTACCACAACGAAATAAATCACTGTAAACTACGTTCAAATACACTTTAGGGTTTAACAAACTTGCAAAAGCCAGCTAAATCAGATCTAAAACTGAAAAGGTAGGAAAACTTTTTTTTGCTAATATATTTAACTCATACAAATTACTCACATAATATATTTAAAGTTTAGAAGAAAATTTGAGCAAAGACAAGTACAAAATGAACAGACTCTTGTTCATAGTCCCTCGTTCTCTTTGGCCAGTAAAGTTTTTCATGCTAAAATACATACTTCTCATTTCATGTGAGTTTTTCTTCTCCCTTAAGGAAAAAGAATTTGTAATTCCCTGAAAATCTAAGGACATAGCCCATGAACAAAAGCAACAATTTATGGGATCATTCAGAATAGTTTTTTTGTGCTAACAGGTCACACAAATGCTTGTAAATAAGAACTATGTCATTAGTTATATAGCACAATAAAAATGTACTTTGGCAATTTTAAAAACTCTTAAAAAACTTATCAATAGACAATAAGAAAACAGGGATCAGGAGGCAAGGTCTGTGTTTAACCTGCCAGAGTTCATGATAAACAATGACAAAGCAACAGTGGTAAAGGAAAGCAGAGAAGCCAAAACCAGAACTACAACCGTAGTCCTTGGAGAGGACAGTGAAGAGTCAGTGGTGAAGAATCAGGGAAGGTAAGACTGGGAGAGAAGGAACTGTTAGTTATGGTTATGTTTACACTCCTGGTGATGCATCTGGGAGGGAACATCAGACAGACCGCTGAGATGTGTGGCTGGATTAGAGAACATTGGTGAGAGGTGTGTTGGGAACAATTTGGAGAGGAAGCAGCTCTGAATGTCCTGCTGTGCTCTCTTTCTATCTAGACTTGTATTTGCTGTTCAAGTGACTCAAACTTCAAGGCATTTCTTTTTATATCTCTCTTGAGTACAGGAACATATTTGTGTAGCAAAATACAGCTGAGGAACAAAGACCTGAAGAAATTATGTATCTTGTTTGACATCACTGACAAAACAAGAAGAATTGGAAATGGAGACTTCAGCATAAAATCTGAAAGAATTCTTGTATTGAAACATTTTTTGCTCAGCAATTTCTAAAACTTTTCAACCCTCTCTTCAATCTTCCGACATGCCTCTACTCTTCCATCATCTTCAGAAACCTTGTTGCAAAACAACTGTTATCACCACACATAGCGGACTCCTGCAGTCATTTAGTTGGGGTCTTATCAAAAAGCAAAACCATAAAGGAAGAACAGTTCTTTCCCTGGTTGCCTCTACTACTGTTATAAATATGTAAATCCTTGTAGATAATGCCCCAAGCAATTATATTTCTGAAAGATTTCACAATGTATAATCTGTGAACAAAAGTACCATAACAATTACAGTGCTCTTACTGGCTACTTCATTCAGAAAACACCACAAATAATTAACATGGGGCCTGAGTGATTCTCTGGAACATTGAGAGAGGACAGAAAGTTGATCACATCTAAAGATTCACAGTCTGACTACGCTTCATATAACTGAGGACAAAAATCCTGTGAAGTAAAAGATCTTAAAAAAAAAAAAAAAAAAAAAAGGAAAGAAAAAAAACACCTTATTACCTTATGGAATCTGCAGACAAACATACAAGCTTTAGGACTACCAAATCAACAATAAAACTACTGTGTAAGCAACATGAGAAGGTAGGTATCTTACCTTCTTCTACAGTTACATTCCCTCTGAAGAAATATTTTCCATGTCCTCTAGAGAGAGCCACACCTAAACTGTGCAGAGAAATAAAGCAGACCTTGAAATCTGTGAGACAAACAATAGCAGACATTCAGAACTATTCCCATTTCTAACATTTCCAGCTAATGTACTATGATTAAAACTGTTTGTTTCCAAACCCTCACAGATCATATTTATTTTTCAACTAGTTTCTCCAATGACGCTTCAGTTCTGATGTGGCTGCAACAATTGGTTGTATTTATGTGTGCTTAGAGGTGCAGTAAACCATTATTCTCTGGCAAACTAATAAATGAGCCCTTCTAAGCTCACTGCTGTTCACCCAGCATGAGATTTCTTCAGCTGAGCCTTGAACATGCCCATGGCCTTACAACGAAGGAGACAATTTTTTGTAATCAGAGTAAGCTGTTGAGAAACTGCAGAAGTGTGGGAATTGATGGAGCTACTGAGAGGAAAAGAATTTCCAATGTGACAACAGCATCATGATTCCTCTTGGACTAATTTTTCTGTGTTTCATATTTTTAGCTAGTGTAGCTCTTTTGTATTGACTTTGGCTTCATAAATTCTCAACAGTTACATACTCTGTTTTGGTTTGGTTTTTAGTCTACCACTTAAACTATCCAAGTTTAATGAACTGGCTGGGGATCCCATGCCTCTTCTTATTGAACACATACACAGAATACCTTCTGGCATTCATTCATTCAAGGGGATTATCTCAGGCTAAGAACCTGCCAGTACTTGAAGCACATGTAGAGGCACCAAATCCAAGAGCACACAAGCTGCAATCAACAGCTCAATTTGGGAAGGGGCTGAACACTAAACAACTTTACCACTACAGTATAGATTTTAATAAATGTTGCCCCTGCTGTCTTCCCAAACCTACACAACAACCCATCAAAACTAGATATATACCATGCTGAAAAAGCAGGACCTTGTTCTTAAATATTTCTGTCCTTAGCATCATAACTTGCACTGCTTGCATGTATCTGTTTACTTATAGGGCAAGAATGACAGTGCCAGAAGGGGAAAAAACCAACATAACAAAACAAAAAACCCAACCAAACAAAAAAACCCCAGCAACAACAAAAAATTCCACAAAATAAAAACAAAACCAAACCTCCACTGAGTATTACCACTCATGTGTGAATTTCAACAAGAATAAACACATGCATTAGAGGTCAGAGAAATGTGCCTGTAGTTTCTTTGTGTGGCAAGGTAGCTCGAGTTATGTGAATCAGTTACATTGAAGAAAATTTCAGTTGAGTATTGCAACTGCCACCCTTCTGCTTTAAGCATAAGTTACCATAGGTACTCTTTTATTAATTGATTATTTCTAATTCAAATATGAGTATTTTTAAAGTGACTACCTGTCTTTCTTTTCCTTTTTTTTCCCCCTCCTTAAATGCATGCCAAAATTACCAATGTGCTCAGTTTTAGTAACAGAAATACACCAAAGGTAGTTCAGAGGAAAAAAAAAAAAACACATCCAAACCTCAAATTGGAAGTGAAATACTATCTCATTTTACATTACATTCTTGTTGTGGAAAAAAAGAAAAATCAAAATGGGGCTCAATATGTAGTTACTTAAATGGATTATAGTATTTATAGCTCTCCAAGTACTTTCGAAAGCCTTTCGTTCAACGTAAACCTCAACTGAATATTTTTTCAATGAAACGTAAGCCATGACAAACACTGGGAGTTTGCCTGTGTGAGCTTGCACAAACTTTCCATCCCTGGAAAAGCTGAAAGGAATGCTGGTAGGCTCCTTTTTCCTTGCTATTTTCAGCATTGTCCAGGGATATTTCATTGTCAACTTTTCCTGATGAGCTTTTAATGAGTTCACAAGCTCTGCATAAGCACAAACCCAACGAGTTGGATGAAACGTCCATTTATTATGGTCGGCTCTACCTGAATGGAGTCCCCTTGATGTCTGTGTAATAGTAGTCATTTGTCATCACCAATACCCGCTTCTAGATTCAGAACAAGAAAGAAGGGGAGGGGGAAGAATTTAGTTTGCTATGAGAAATATATTGAAGACCAAGTGGTTAGTCTCTGATAAAATATGAAGCAATGTTTACATTCAGTGAGTGAAAAAAATATATACTGCAGTGAATCATATTTATAGCAAACTTAAAAACTGTTCAAAAATTATTGCTTGCTTTACATTTAGTTGGAATAATATTTTAGACATTGTACCCCTTTGTCCACTGTCTTCTTTACTTCCATGGAGAATTTCCCTGTCTTCCGGTTCACCATTGCATTTCGGAGCTGAAACAAAGGAAACGTGTGTCAATCAATCCCTTTATTTGCATTTTCTGTGATTCTTTTATTGCTGAGCTCTCCAGTACACTCATTTGGCCTAAGCAGTGCTCAATTTTCTTCATTTCTTCATTTCAGTAATTCTACTAGGCACTGAGAAACTCCTTTACAGATTCTATTATTGAGTGTATTAGCCAAGGCTCCTGCCATACAACTCCAGGCACATTGCTAAGGCACAGAAGATAGGAGCTTTCAGCATCCCTCATAGTAAAATAGCTCTCTGTGGAGTAATCTGGATCTTCTGTGACACAGTGTAATTTACTCTTCTGGAGTTACTGCAGGGGAAGTTAAGGACCAGGTTCCCAGTTGGGTTTAGCTGGTTAGACCAGGGCTCAGTGTTTGATTACATCAACAACTATAAAGAATAAGAGAAAGCACCACTTACCCTACCCTATTCATTCTGCTTAGGGAGCCCCCGGTGGTCTAGGGGAAAAGACACTGCACTGTCACTGCAGAGACCCGGGTTCAATTCCCGGTCAGGGCCCCTCCCCGGGCAGATGGAGCTCGTTAGCCCATAAGGCAATCCATCTACATCCTGAGGACCTCACTGCCACCGTCCAAGCATGCTTGGCCCCGGCAGATGAACCTCAGGATTAAAGGGTGGGCTCAGTTCCGCGCACACTGTGTCTCACCTAAAAAGTCCAATGGGCAGGCTGGAAGGTGGAAAGACCTTCCCCGGTTCTTCGTTCGCGAAGACTGGCCATTGCATTCTGCTTAAGAATCTACATTGGGCTGCATGCTAAACTAGCATCAGAAACTTCATCCTAACTACATCAGAAATTAGAACTAGCCCATGAAAACAGAATGACAGCCTGTTTGATCAGTAACCTGTTTCACTGGGAATACACAACTGCAGTGCTCTGCAGCTCCATCAGTTGTCCTTCGGTTTCCACGTTCCCCTTGCAAGGTAATAAATTTTAGCTCTGTAATTTAAGCCCTAGGTCAGTCACAGCTTTAAGAATTGTCCTGGACCTCTCCCTCTCAAAGTCATCCAAGAGACATTTTAAATCCCCCCTCAAAACCAAGTTTCATTACTGTATAAACCAAAAACTCAGAGAAGCTAGAGAAACTAGAAAATAAATGGAAAAGAGTTTGTACGCAATTATTTACCTGCTGCTCTGAAAGTTAAACCTAGATCATCCCAAACCTATTCTGCAAAGTCCCTCTCCCACCACCTCTAAAACATCTTCACACAGCACACCTATTTGCTCCCTAGGAGAGAAGTTTTCCTCCCAGAGGACACACATCCTTCCCCTTAGGTGAACATGCCATGATGATGAAAAGAAGAGTAAAAGAACCAACAGCCATCCCCTGGGTCTACAGGACAAAATGACCAGCAGGATGAGGACACGCTACCCTGGCACAGCTGGTCTGAGGGCAGGGGCTCTGGCCTGAAACTGAAGAATGACATGACAGGTTTGTTTTGAAAATTGTCAACATTAGGGCTTTCAATTTGCCTAATTATCAGTTCGGAACTTTAGGGAAGAAATAAGAAACTTACTGTTTAACAGTTATACCATCTATATATGGAAACATTTCATTTTAATGCTCTTAGTTTTACTAATGGAAGAAGTGAGTTATTTTGCTTGTTGTGGTAAAAAGCACCTATAAATCTTTTGCAGCTGTAGTTTTCATTACAATTGGAAAATTCCACTATCACTAATCAATTCAATATTCAAAATGCAGAATAATATTGACAAAGTGAGCCATTTTTATGTCTCTTCTATTGGTTATCTATCTGAACACAATTCTGGACATCATGTTCTTGTGAATAAATACCTCCTGCTCCAGAGCACCTCTTGCCAGATTGGGCAATTCAGTGGGGTTTTAATGAAAAATTGTGAAGATAGACTTATAAATGCACTCTGCAGGCTTTCTTAGTATGGAATGAAAAGTGAATGACTAAACTTGCCAGTGAAGTATCTGGTTTTATTCTCATGAACAAGTTGAGCATGGTTGACCTATCAAAAACTGCAAACTTTGCAGCTCTTTAAATCTAATTCTAGGGCATCTAGATTTGAATTAACAGTCCTACTCTTCTGTCAGTGAGTGTAAAAGAATAATTTTTAGCTGGAGGCATATGTAAAATAAAGCATATATTTTACTGTAGATTTTTTTTTTTTTTAACAATACATAATAGGCAATTCTGGAAATAGTTTCCTATTTTAAGTTTTGTGGTTTTGGACTTGGAAAGCTGGTCTTAATTAACCATCTACTTTCTAACATTTACAGAACAGTTCCATTTATCTTTAACATGGTTTTCATTTTTCTCCTATTGGTGCCTGCAGTTGTCTAAGACCCATTCCTCCCACAAGCCTCAGGCAAGTCATAGATTTACTAAAAGGTTCTCTAAACTCTCACTAGTGTTTAAGATCAAGTCTGCATGTGGGATTTAGAGTTTTACTTTTCTTTCCTTTTTTTTTTTTTCCCCTGCTTGCTGTGATTGCATTTCTTGGCTTTGTAATCTGGTTTCTCAGCTCTTCTGCAGTTTCATCTCCCTCTTCAAATGCATAAAATAAGTACTGCCTCAATTGGCTCCAAGCCCCAAAACATTCATTCATGGTCTTTTTTATTTGGAAAAAAAAATTCATTCAGCTAGAAATTATAATAAAGGAATTTTAAGTGAGTTAATGAGAAAAAGGTTTCTATCTGAATTGAAACTTCTCCTCTTTGGTCCTGTGTATTTGCAAACCTTGCTGGAAGACACTGTTAACTTAATAAGCTGATGCTAAAATTTCTGTTTCTAATAAAATGCATTAACAGCAAGATAGCAGGTATTGTTAACCTGGAAAATGAGTTGATATATTTATAACACTATTTCATGGTGAAAAAAATTATAACCTTAGTTTGGACACCTTTTCCTTATTGGATCACTAGAGAAGACCAATTTCTTCACCTCTTCAGAGTAATAAGTATTCTTGCTCCTTCAACTAAATATCTTCCAATCAATTGCTAACAACTCAGTTTCACTGCTGTAGCATGAGATCATTCTGTATTCCTGGAAAACTGTACAACCATTAAATTAATGTGGTAAAAAGTAAGAAAACGTCTTAATCAGCTTCCACATAAGTGTTTCATGGGAGAAAAATATCCCAGTAGTAGTCCATGTTATTAAAAGCAGCTATATGAATATATTAATTCTTTCCCTCTGCAGTTGAATAAACAATGCTTTACTACCCAAGCTTGGAAAAAATCAAGAACATCAAATCCAACGTCTTGGACGAAGCAAAGCCACATGCAGCTTATCTCTATGATGCAATTAAAAATTTATTTTTGAGAAGCTTGTTTTATAAGTGAAAGGCAAAAAGTGAGATAAAAGGTATGCATGTATCTTTCATCAAAATGTGAAATAAAAATTTTGCAGCCTACAGATAGACAAAATGCAATTTCTGGTAGAAATTTTCAGATAAAGTTACAGAACATATGGATGTCAACCAAAGGAAATACTTAAAGAGAGTTTAATCTGGACTTTCATGTGTATTCAGATAGAATCTCAATTATAAATAAAACTAAATTTGGAATTTCATAGAAATAGTTCAGTGTTACATTAACTGAACTACTGAATTTCTGCTAAGATATGATTAAAAATGAGAGATTAAAATGTCAGAATTAAGCAGACGAAGTATTGGAAGAAATACAAAAAAAAAAAAGAAAGAAAACAAACCAAAGAGAAAGAGGAAGAAGAAAAATCATGAAGTTTTAAGGGCTGTATGTAACTACAGAAACAGCATTTGAAAGGACAGAGGAAATTTTAAAAGGACATTAGCAGAGAAACTGATTGAGTAATATGTGATCAAAGATAAGAAAAAAAGGCAGGTATAAAACATGAACCCAGTGAGCTTGCAAAGGCTGCTACACTGTCTGAAAATCTAATGAAGGAACCTTAAATAGAGTGTGCATAGGAAACAGCACAAAGCTATACAAACACTAACAAGAGTTTTTGTGTGTGCACTCCAACACAAAACTTGAACTAAGGAAGTGCGATGGCCTCCGAGGAGAGGCCAAGGACAATCTATCACCTGGTGGAACAGACACTGCTTAAAACATAGATGAACTGTTTGACTATTCACAAAGGGGGTGGAGAGACGGAGGAATGCAAGATATATATTTTGTAAGGGAGAAGGAAAATATAGACTTATGTCAGAACAGGGATCAAGAAATTAGTACATCTGAAGACTGACAAGACTCCAGGGGCTGTTGTACGTGATCCATCCCAGATTACGGAAGGACATGACAAAGTAAATATGGGAACCTTCAGTGGATATATTCAAAACCTCTCTGGAAAAGCAGAGGTACGAGGGACTTGGGAGAAGCTAACACAGTACTGATATTTGAGAAGGGATCGAGGAGACATCTATGAAAAATACAGACATGCAGTCGTGACTTTGGCAGTAGGGAACCTATGGGAAAAACTAAATTACAGGACAGAAAGGGGAACACCTGGAAAGTTACGATTTAATTAAGGACAGTCAGCGCAGATTCACACAAAACGAATCATGCCTAACAAATCAGATTTATTGAGGAAGTGACAGAAAGACCAGGCAAAGGTTAAGCCATGGGCATAAGGAAAGCTTTTGATACAGTACTGCAGAAAAGGCTAAGCCTGAAAGGTAAGAAAGAATAAGATAAAGAGTGAACTACAGAGTAGATGGAGCACTGAAAAATGAGGTTAATGGAAAGCATTGTGTGCATAACAGCTGATAGACACAGAACGCATGCTCCTGCAGCTCCTCATGTGTCTGGAATTAGAAGCTGGGAGTGAAACTGTGCTCTGCATACAGGTCAAAGAATCCAATTTTGTATATTCATCTGATGGTTTTGGATTCTGTGCGTTAAGTAAAACAGCTCTCTTTACTTCCATTAAGGAAAGAGGGATCTCATGGAAAGAAGTTAAACTCATTCTTTGATCTCTGAGTTTCAGCAGTTGTCTGGGCCAGCCCTAAGAAGACATTCTATTCCTGTCTCTCCTGCTATCCAGCAAAAATACACAATGGGATGCATGGAGTCTGCAAGGGTGATGAGTTTTACCAAATATACAAAGAGTCTGTGTTTGTGGTATATGGATATGTAAGGAAGAAACAATACAAAACAGTTGTAAAATTCTGAATGAAGTAAAAGGGTCTATTGTCCTTCCCTTCCTGAGAGCAGTCAGGTGGCCTCTCTAATGACAACTTAAACAGTTTCCAGGTACAGTAGTGAGATGCAACAATGTCTTCTGAGAGGGTTTTAAAACACATCACTTACCACATCATCTCTGTCTTCCCACTCAACCTCAGAAAGATCCACACTACTGTAGTTGGGCTTTCTTCGTTTCTTCCCCTCTTCATACTGGTATAAAAATAAAGGTGAAACATTTAGCACATCCTGTTTTATTTGCACAACTATTTTGTATCAGAAAATTAAAAAAAAAAAATTGCTGGATATTGATCGTGTGCAATACACTTCACAGTAGGTAGCTTAATTCATAAAAAGTGCACTGTGCTGCTGCATAAATGTTTCCTGTGAACTAAAAGCCTACATGATTATTTGCATGATCTCTTGCCGTGAAGCAAAACTTTTCTTGATGGACACACTGGGAAATCAAACTCAGCAGTTGTACCTTCTTCTCCCCATATGGAAAATACACCAGACCTTGGATTCGGCAGTTTATGTTAAAAGTCTCAAACTAGCTCTTTCAGCAGTACAGGAAGTTATATTTACTATAATCTTATCAACAAAATGTTTACCCATTTCACTTTAAATAAGATAAGATGCAAGTCTTGGGAAGTATGGTGTTAACATTTGCTGATACTCCATTTTATCTACAACTTCTTGGGGGGGAAAAGTAACATACTAACAATGATAGTGTACGGGGTTTTTATCACTACTCACTGTTACGCTGTAAATCACACATTTAAAATAAACATTCTAGTGACAAATTGATTTGACACCGAGGTGTTTATAATGTGGGAAATTCTGCCCTCTGCTGAACACTCGAAATCAGCCTACTAGCTTAACCAAACAAACCTGTCTCAGTGGAAGAAAGAAATATTTAAGAAGACTTGTGAATAAAGAACCTAACTGGTTAAGTAAAATTAGGAGATTATATTTGGAAAAAAACAAAACAAAATCAAACCACAAAATTTGGGAGAGGATCAGTACAATGTAAAATCTGGTCTCTTATCTTTTATGATGTATAAAAGTGGGAGCAAATCACAAGTCTTTTTATGAAGTATGGCAGGAGACATTGGAGTGCTGTAAAAAATCCCCAAATTGCTTTTCTGACTGTTCAACAACAACAGCATCACAGAAGGATACAAAGTGTACCTGTAAGGCAGTAGGTATAGTTGATTCTCCTCCCTCAGGGCAGGAGCAACTATACCATAAACCAAACCTGTCAGTGTTTGAGACGAGCAATTCATCACCACAGCCAGTAGTGCAGGGACTTTAATCACATTCTGCAGATTACAGAGATCGAGGGGAAGACTTGCTCTCTGAGCATTAAGAAGGTTATTCCCAGCCTGACTTTTCCCTCTCTGAATTAGAAATTCTCATGTGAATCCCACAGCTGCACTTGTGGACCACAATACTTTAAAATAGGAATGACAAAATCTTCCTGAAGAACAGTAAACTTGTAAAAATATTGACTGCAGCATCATAATCACCAAGAGATTTTGAGATATTGGTAGCACTGTAAAGTTTCTTCTACCATGGGCTTCACGGATCCTCCTTAACGTTTGCTCATAAGAAATTAGATACTCCAATTATTTCTACAGATGACTCTTTTGGGAAATTCTGTGGGATAAAATCCTGAGTCAAATCTCATTCTTTTTAATAAAAAATCCTAACAACTCTGTTCATGTAAGTCTTAGTCTACATTGTCAGAATTGATGCAATTGAAAAGTACTTTCCTGTGCTTTTCTTGCCCCTCTGCTAAAATCCACTGTTCCTGTAACAACAAGGTTGTCTACTTCTATTCTAATACTATTCAACAGATGGGTAGAGAGATGTAAAGAACTGCTTTCAGCACACACTTATATACTAGACTTTGAATTCAAGCAGTTCAGTTCTACAATTACTTCTTGCTACATGACAGCTCTGATAGCCAGAGATAACTATACCCACTCAAACACAAAATTTGCATGTAGTATAACTAAATCTCACAAGAATAACATATGAGAGGATAACATCCCGTTCATTAGCAGGGCTTGATTTTTGTAACTGTTTTGCAAGCCTTTCATTGTGGCTGCAGCTATATCAATATTATCTTTAATCTCTACAATGAGTAACTACATCTACTTTCTGTGGCTGCACCAATTAACCAAACAAGTCTTTGATCTGATTTAGTCATTCTAGTATAGAAATGGTTACAGTCAGGCTCTGAAGTACTGAGAGCTGAACAGGGTTACATAGAAGTTTGCTGGGATCATTTGAGTAGGGCAAACAGCTCCTGTACTGGTTCCAACGTTTAATTACATCCTCACTCACAGATGTTGAAGAGCTTCTGGCCTCTACTGCATTCTCAGACACATGTGTAAATCCTTACTTAGGACAATAGTAGTTGAAGTGTCTGACAGCAGAAGTAGGCTTCAAACATAAGGCAAACCTTTTGCATCATACTGATTCTGGGGTTCGTATTTATTTTAATCATATAGATTTCACACCTTGCACTTAGAGAACGAAAACCAAAAGCAATCAAAAGAAGAGCTGGATAAAACATTCAAAGTTCTGCAGAAAATTCAGAATTGGAAGCATTTATGTATTAAAAATTTAGATTAGAAGGAACAAAGCCAAGCTCCCAGTGGTCTAGCAGGAGTTCAGCTCTATAAACATTCAAAGGAACTGAAAGTGTAATTCTTAAACACATTTAGGACAGGAACTAATGAAGTATTGAGATGTCTAACCCCTTATTCTGCAATTACACTTTAGGAGCTACTGTTGAAGTGTCTACACAGGAATTCAACAAGTGAAGAATAGATTTATTTTATAGTTCAGAAAAGGACAGCAGAGAAAAAAAAAAAAAAGCTTCCAGAAAAGATGTGATACAAAAAAAAGGGCAATTATTTTTATATCTGGGTAACTTTTCTTATAAATCTAATCTCGTGAAGATATCACCTTATTCTGAGCAGTAAATCTACATATCTTTATGCTCATGTATGTCAAACATAAATGCACTTAGATCACATATAAGATGCTTCATAACAGTACTGTTGAAAGGTCATTCTTCTCCAGTTTCTTTCTAATTTTGTTGCTTAACTAATTCCTCAGTAACACAGAAGATTTTAAAAATAGCATTCAGTTATATCTTCTTCTCTGGTAGCAAACCTAATCTAACCTTTTATCTCTAAGGCTCCTGGGTGAAGTATAAAATACTGATTGAAAGCTGAAGCCAAACCCATCTGCAAGATTACTATAAAGCATTGAAACAAAGCATTAGGGGACCCGTTGGGAAAGATACAAACTAGGAATTCTACCAAATTACTCTGATTTAAGTGCATGAGAAAAAGAGCTAGATTTAAAATGTGTACTGTTAATCTACTTTGACTAGCCTAAAATGTGTGGTGATATTATATAGTAGTTAACCCCTGTGAGGGGAAAAAAAACCACAAACTGAAAGAAGTTAAATATCTGGTCTGCAACAGAAGAATCTTTTAGTCTGCTCAAAACTGCATGATGGCTCCAACTCACTGCTGTTTGGGAAAAGAGCACAGGACTGGATTTTGTGATCAGAATGAGCTTTATCTTACTCAGTATCTTTTATTTGAGGCTGGGCCAAACTGTTATAGCACTGGATGATTCAAACAACATGTGACATGAACTACTTGAGGATTGAATCACATTTTTTCACCACCCCATATACAACCATTTACATGTGCCATTATTAAACGCTTTGCTTTGATTTTATTTTTTTTAACACAAGCAGTCCCAAACCATCTGCATTGAATATGACCAGCCACGTGTTCATAAAGTCAGAGTGTAGCAATCTGATCATGGAGAGAGCAAACTACATCTTAACAGCTGCAAGTCTTGGGTCTAAGGTGATTGGAATTTCTCAGACGTGCTCTATATGGATAATGGGGAAATAGGAGAGAGTAAGTTGCTGTGATAGCAGCCTTGGAAGCATCACTAGCTTTTAGTGAACTTTCTTAGCCACACATGTGGAATCATCTGTAAGAAAATATAGTAAGGAAGCATCTACTAAACAACAACCAAAACCCAGAGAGGTAAAATAATTTCAGGGGATAGTTCTTTCTTGACAAACTACTAATATGCGCAAAAGTAAGGAATGAGGTACTGAAAAAACTCCCCCAGTTTTGAAACATAGCAACATTGGATGAAGCTTCATATTTTTGAATCAATACTTCAAAATTTGGTCAACGTATTAATCTCAACAGGATTTGAGATTGATCCTTTTTTGTTTGTTTGGAGGACACAAACTTGAACACATGAATACAGCTTGTGCTGCTCCAAATCATTCTGCCTGCAGATACATGGGAAGCGGCATCCTATATCAATTTCAATCACTACTGCTTGGCTTTTAAGCTCTTTATTTCATTCAGAATACTTCTTTCCTGCTCACACAATCCTTATTTGTTATTTGTGATGCCTTTATTTCATGATTTACATCCAGTTTGCAACCGCAAATGATCTCCTGTTGATCTGCATTTAACCTCAAATCTGTAGGTGTTCAGTTAAAAAAAAAGTTGTTTTCTACACAAACCTCCTCATTTTAATATTAAAAAAGGTGCCATCTTCATTCTCTTAGGAATATAGGAAGAAGAATTTCCCTTTCCAATGGAAGATTTTTCATGACCAGCCTAATATTTAAGATCTTAATCCCAAAGTTCCTAGGTTATGGTTGGTAGCAAAAAACAGTTATTTTGGACTGATTTTTCATGCCAGATGGCAGTGAAAAACTGCCACACTATAAAATTAGCAGAAATACTGCAGAAAAAAGCTGACAACAGGAGCCATGTAGTTTGCTAAGGAATAGAGAATAATGCAACTCTAAATTTCCAGGTAGAGAAAAAGTAGGAAAAATTAGATCTGCCATGCACACAGGAGAACCCTCTAGTGAAGCAACAGAAGAAAAGAGTTCTTATGCCACACGTATTTAAATTAGTCTGTCTACTTACACTCACAACGTGTGTTTGCATTTCAAATGGTGCAGTAGTGATTAACGTGATAGAACAATATGGAAATGTACAAGGTGAGCTAAAAGTCAATACAAAAACCAGCTTTAAGTCACACACCTTGAGCCTGGCCAAAGAGCACATCAGCTGAGCTCATGTTCTCAGGTGGAGTGCAGTTGATTAGAGATGCGACATGTATGTGATTTACTCCACTGA